TCCTTGGGGCGTCTTGTCAGGAGAGAGCAGACCCTGGAAAAGGCAGCCCTGGACAAGGTGGAAGGACACTGGCTCCCCCAATGGGCTCACTCGCACATGAGAATAATTGAGCGGAGGGTGCAGGAATAGGCAATGTTCCGTGCTATTATGAGAGGGTCGTTATGAGTCAGAACCAATTCAACAGCACCTAACGACAGGCCACGGACACTTCATTTGCATGGGCTATTGACCAAGCCCTGCAAGGCGTACGCCAGTCACAGGGCAGGCTGCAGTAGGGCCAGGCAGAAGGTGAATGTCAATCATGCTCAATCCAAACCAAATTCACCAAGTCAATTCTGACCCCCCAGTGACCCTGTGAGGCAAAGTAGAACTGCCCCTGTGAGTTTCTAAGACTTAGCTCTTACTGGGAGTAGAAAGCCTCATCTTACCCCTACAGATCGGCTGGTAGTTTTGAACTGCCGACCTTGTGGTCAGTAGCCCATCATGTAACCCATTATGCCATCAAGGCCCCTTGTCAATCAACCTGAACAAAAGTTACAAACTTGATGGGGGATGGGGGGGCATTCCTTCAGACCGTTGCTGCAAAAAGCCATGGCAAAGGGCACATAAAGGAACTCCCACCCTTCCCTGACGCCTCCGCCTATTCCCAGACTCCCTGAGGCGCTCTCTCCCAGCACCCCCAAGCCATAGGGTCCCCACCCCATCAAACTTAGCCAAGGCACTCCTGAACTTGTTCTGAGCGTGATTAGAAAGAGCTCTCAACAGGCTGCTAGCGGGAAGGCTGGTGGCCCAAGTCCACCCATCAGCACCTCAGAAGAAAGGCCTGGCATCCAACATGGCATATGGCCATTGACAACCCTGGGAGCAGAGTTCTCGGGCACACGAGCAGCCACCATGACCAGAAATGGTGTTGCCCTGTTTTACAAAGAAGAGAGCGCTTTGCTCAGGAGAATTGAGGGATGTCCTCTTGGCAGGGGCAACAGCAGCAATGGATGGGATTACAGGCGGTGTGGGGAGACCCCAGTGGCTATTGTAGGGCAGGCCCCCAAGAATGTTAAGTTGGCCCCGACTCATGACACCCGCCACAGTGGAATGAAATGCTGCCTGGTTCCTCGTCCCCAGCATAATCATGGGTCGGACCATTGAGATCCACAGGGCTTTCATGGTTGGTTGGTTCAAAGTAGACCATCAGGCCTTTCTTCAGCCTACCTTAGCCTGGAACCCGTTCAGCCACGCACAAGCCTCACCGACAGAGGGGTGGTAGCTGCATGGTCAGGAATCAAACCAGTTGTCCCACAAGGCAGGCAAGAATTCCACCAATGGACAACCACTGCCTTCAACTGCCACCAGGGGACAGCCTAGAGCACAGCCGGCCTGATGTTGCAGGTGCTCCAGGCGCCCTGGGGGGCGCTGCAGGCTCAGCATTCCCACTGGGTTGGGCAGAGTTCACAGCTCTGGATTAGCTCCTCCCAGCCTGTGCTGGGACCGTTAACAAACTGGGATGAGACTAGCCAAGGAAGGGAAAGGTGGCGCCTGAGGCCCTCCTGCCGGGGAGGAGGGGTGGGTGGAGGCAGGTAAGCATGGGGGCAGGAGTCAGTAGGACTGACACGTGGACACTCCTGGCAGAGGTGAGGATTTCAGGAGTTAGCTTTTGAGGCAAGGAGGATCCAGGGGCTCAGCGGGCCTGGAGGAACAAGGGGTGTGGCTGAACATGGACCCCCCCAGCCCAGTGGGTGCTCACACCCTGGGAACCAGTCCCCTTCTGAGCCCTTCCTTACTCCTGCTTGGCCTCGAGCTGTGGGCTTGCCGGGAAGCAGCTCGTCTTTCTCCAGCCCCTGCATAACGATGGCTCAGAGAGGCTGAATCACACAGCCTAAGGCCTGTCTGACCACAGAGAGGGAACAAACCCCTTGGGTGGGGTGGGGTGGGGCCGGGTGGTACCTGGCCCCCCTCTGGTTCTGGCCAGGCTGGAATGGGGTGCATTGGTCTCATAACCTCTAGACCCCCAGCAGCTGTCCTCTGCCCACCCTACCCCCCTGGGGGCTTCCAGTTTATTCTGTCTGAACTGGGAGGCTATTATGGAGCTCAGGCTGTCTGCCCCAAGTCTGGGAGTGATGGTAGCTGGAGATGCTTCCCTGGCCACACTTAGGAAATACCTATCTAAGGTATGACAGGCATGGCACCCGCCCTGGGAGCCACTGGTTACCACCAGCTGTGGAGGTCATTCAGCAATGTTTTCATACTAGAGAACTTCCATGGGCTCAGAGCCCTGGTGGTGTAGTGGTTTGTTTACACATTGGGCTGCTAACTACAAGATCACTAGTTCAAAACCAGTAGCCACTCCTCAGGAGAAAGATGAGGCTTTCTACTCCTGTCAAGAGTTAGTCTTGAAAATCAACTTGGGGAGAGAGGGGAGACGGGGTCTTTAAGAGTTCTGACCAGATGGCAGTGAGGTGGGTTTTATTTATTTATTTTTGGCCTCTTGTTGATGGGCGGCTCCGTGAGTTACTCGCCACAAGGTCAGCAGTTCAAAACCACTAGCCACACCGTCTGAGAAAGAGGAGGCTGGCTGTTTCCGTAAAGGTGCAAGGCCTCAGAAACCCACAGAGCCAGTTCTCTGTCCTGTCGGGTGGCTCAGAGCCAGAATTGTCCTGACCGCAAGGGCTTGGATTTCTGTTCTCTTATGGGGTCAAGGCAGACTGTGGGGTCCTGCTCTGCTGGAGGCGGGAAGAGAAGACGCAGAAGGAAAAGACAACAGTGACTTAGAGAGGCCACCATGGGCCGTTTGCACGAACGAGACCAAGAACGATGGTGGGGTGATGTGGAGCACCATCCTGCATTAGGGAACCGAGTACAGCGCCAGCTTGTCCTTATGGGCTGACAGACACGACTCAGAGGCCCGTGTGGGGTGGCATGCCCTGCAGAATCACCTCTGCACCTGGCACAGGACTCGATGCCTGGGGAGGCGTGGGAAGCAGGGCACAGCATTCCGTCCGTTTGCCCTCCCATCCCCCAAAGCACGTGACCAGACTGGCACCAGCCCCCAGCAGCGAATGAGACCAGGGTTCTAGGGACCCTGGCCACGTGCTTGTGGAAGGGTGCAGAGTAGGACCACCCCCCACCCCCAGGGCTAGGATGAGCTCCCCAGAAGGGGATTCTCAGGGAGATCTCCAGGAGTCCAGGGGGCCTGTGTCCCCCCCCTGGCCTGCACAGAGCATGTGTCCACATGCGGGTGACTGGGGGATGCTGTCAGCATTGTGCTATTGCTAGTGGCGGTCCTCTTGCTTCTGGCTCAGTGCAGCCCATGGGTTACAGATTAGAACTCCTCCATAGGGTTTTCTTAGCTGCCATCCTAACCAAAGAAGATCGCCCGGTCTTTCTTCTGCACCACCACCACCGGGCGAGTTTGAACGGCCAGCCTTTATGTCAGCAGAGAACCACCAGGCGTTTGGGCCACTCAGCAACCCCAACCCCTTGTTGAGTTCCGACGCCTGGTGAGTCGGAGGTGTCAGAGTGGAGCTGGGTCCCAGAGATGGTTCGTGGCTTGACTTTTGGGGAAGGAGATCACCAGGCCTTTCTTCCGAGTTGCCTCTGGTTAGACTCACAAACTTCAAACTTTGGGGAGAGGGTGTCGCCTGGTACCATTCAGGGACCTGGGGCCGGAGAGGTGGGAGACATCCAGGGCTGCCCTATGGCAGAGCCTCTGAGGGGTGGTCGGTACGATGGCCTTGGTCACAAGTCCTGATGTGATGTGCCATCAAGCTGGCTGTTGCCTGCCTGTGGCCCTACTCCCATGGTGGAGGGCACTGTCTGAGCAGGGCGGAAGTTAAGACCTGACTTCAGTGGAGAGTATGAATCCGGGGCGTCACTCTGTTCCCTTGATGACGCCTTTTTAGGAGCCCACCTCTGAGCCGGGACACACTCTTTGCTTCCCTGGGATATGCAGTGGTGCACCGCACAATTCCACCCGCCCATCGCCTCACCCGGAAAGCCAGGCCTGTTTCCTGCCTGAGCCTTGCTGGAAGCCAGAGGGCCTGCTGTGACTTTGGGACAACTTCTGGCTCCTGGCTCTGGACTCTGCTTTTGGCTCGTCGCTGCCTGACCCTTGGAGTTTGGACTGAGCGACACGCCCCACCATGTGCAGCATTCCTTAAGGTCTCATGAGTTTCTGTGATGTCCCGGTGATGCGTAGGACCCGGGGACTGTGTTCAGGGGGAGGAGTAGGGGGGTGGGAATGGCGCTGAACAGCATCATGGGTAAAGCTGGACATCTGGCTCCTCTTCAGTCTCCAGCCCCTTGGGACCAGGCTGGGTCCAGGACATTAAACAAGAGGCTTACCATGTTATAGCCCCTCAATGGCGTCCGTGTGCTGGCAGGACAATGTGCGGGCTGAGCACCCGCTCCCCCAGGGTGAAGGCCCTGGCTCAGACACTGTTCTAAGGCTCGGACATCTCGACACAGACCGGTGTTGCTCTGGTTGAAGTAGCAAAGGGGACCATCCGCTCGACTCTTTCTTCTTCCCATTCAGGCTGCCCCAAGAGGTAACTCAAAGCCCCACCCAGACTGGGGTGGGTGGGAGACAAGCCCAAGGGCCCATCCACTGCACCTGTTTCCCCCATGAGCCACACCCTGCTCTGTGCGGCCACCTGCCTGAGGACACAGGCCGATGTGGAGGTCAGCAGATGCCGCTCCCAGATTTCAAGGAGCCGGGAATGCAGAGTGCCACGGCTCGGGCGTCACCGTGGGGGAGAACAATGTGAAGTGAGGTCCTGATGTGGCCAGGTGGCCTGTACGCGGCCCTGGGGCCCCTGGTCCCAGGAGGCGGTTGCCCGGGTCAGGAGAAACGCCCAGTGACCTGTCCCTCTGCCCTGATCTGCTTGGACCAGCCCCATCTGTTTTGCAGACGGTAGGCCCAACAGCCTGGCCCTAGATCAAGGCTGAGTGGACCAAGGTCACCATCCTGCCCCTCCCCCCAAACAGACTTGGTCCCCAAGCTCATGCTCCCCATACATCAGGATTTAATAGAAAAATAACAGCTTCCCCCCAAATCTCTGCTCTCGGAAAACACGCCATGGCTGCTGCGGGCTGGCTTCATGTGCCACCAGAGACCCTCAGTTCCACCAGCAGACAGGTGGGGGGGGGGGGCCCTGGCTGGAGGACTCACTGGTCTGCCGGTGGTCGCTGGCCAGAGTCTGGCCCTGCTGTCACTGGTGGAGGTAAGCTTCCAGCCATACATCCCCAGACTTCTTCAGGGACCTGCAGGCAAGTGTGTGTGTGGAGGAAGTATTAGGGACTCACCTGCAAGTCGTAAGCCACCCCCCACCTCCCCCAAGTCGGTAGTGTTCACTCCCTCAGGACTTCCTGTGCCCCTGGGGCAGGTAACTGGATGAGCTGGGACCAAACTCAACCAGACTCGCTGCCGATGCCAGGCTCACAGCAATCCTGCAGGACCGGGCAGAAGGGCCCCTGTGACATTCCAAGACCGTAACTCTTTGTGGGGTAGAAAGTTCCACTTTTCTCCCTCGGAGTCTCGGGTGGTTTTGAACTGATCTTTCGGGTCGTACTCGAAACTGTAACTGCTATGTGGAACTCATTAACGGGACAGGCCTGGGAGCCTGGACCAGAGGTGGGATGGAGAGATGGAGGTGGGGGCGGACCAAGGGGAAGGGGGAGTATAGGGGGAAGGACATGGGAAAAGGTGGGGTGACAGAGGGTAGGCTATGGAAATGGGGAGGGCAGGGGGTGGAAGGATGGAGGCAGAGTATGGGGGGAGAGCGAGGTGGCGTGAAGGAGGGAGAGGTGGAGGGAGGGGGCTGGGGGCAGCTGCATTCAGGACCAGGCCAGAGCCAGGCAGGGTGGTCCCTCTTCCTTAACTGTCTGCATGTGCACGACCTGCCTCCTTGCACACAGGTTCTGGACTGGCGCTGCCACCCCCAGACTGTCAAGAGGGTACCTGCCCCCCGGGAGTTTGGCAGAACTATGTGCCAGGTGCCCTGAAGGCTAGTCAGGTGTTGCAGGAGCAGGTGCCTGAGCACCAGCTCAGAACAAGGAAGGGCATCCAAGCCCAGGGAACCTCATGTGCTAAGGCCCCAAGGTCCCGGAATCCCACCTCTGCCCATCCTCCTTCTGAGGCCCTCCCCAGGCTGGGTCCCAGCAGGTCTCACCTGTTCCACAGCTGAAGCCCCCGCTGGGCTTCTGGCTAGGCCCCTAGTGCATTCTCGCTGTCAGGGGTCTTCCTAGCATCCAAGGCAGGCCACACCGCCCCCTTCTCAGGGCCGCCTCGACTCCCGCCTCACTCAGGAGTCCTCACAGACTCCTCCCCAGCTCTGCCCCAGAGTCTGCCCCAGGACCTTTGCACTGGCCATTCCCCATGGCCGGAGCACCCCCCTGTTCCCCAGCACCCACCTCAGTGCCCTCTCCTCCACCCAAACTCTGCTCCCCTGCCCCCATTCCACACCGATCCCCACGCCCCCTCCTCTCCTTTCAGCCACCCCAGCCATCTGTCATGTGGTCACCACTTTGTAGCTTTCCAGTTCCGGAGGGCAGGGTCTCTGGTCACCCTGCTTAGCATGCTGGGGCCCTGGGACGGGGGACAGAGGGCTCTGAGGGAAGTGGACCAGGAGGGGCTGGCTGGGGGGCCTACCTGACGATGTCCGCCAGGGCTGTGAGGAAAGGCTTCACCTCATACGTGAGGCCATGCTTGGCGCACAGTGCCCTGACCAGGGGGGCCACCTTGCGGTAGCTGTGCCGGGGCATCGTGGGGAAGAGGCTGGGGGAGAGGAGTGCACCCTGGTGTCTGAGGTGGGGAACCGCTCCACCCACTCATCACCTCTCCTGGGGTGGGGGTGAGGGGCAGGCAACAGGGGGCTCTCAGTCCTGCCCGGCCGCACTCACTGGTGCTCAATCTGGAAGTTGAGGTGCCCGCTGAACCAGTCGTTGAAGAGGGACTGTTCCACGTTGCAGGTGGCTGCCAGCTGCGGGAGGGGAGAAGAGGCAGGTGGGGAGGCCCGGCAGCCCCCCCTTGCCCCTCCTTGCTAGCTGCTCCAGCCCCCGTGGGCTCAGCCCGTCCCCATGGCCCACCTGGGAGCTGGCCCAGTCTCGGTGCTTCTCCTGGCCTATTTCCTTGGGGATGTGGTTCATCTGCGTGATCCACACGAACCAGTGGCTCTCCAGGACCCTGTGGGGACGGCTTGGCACTGCCCTGTGTCCACTCACCGCAGGGACCCGTGAGGAGAGGAGCCAGCGCAGGCGGGCACCCAGGTGCAGAGGCTGCAAGGACGCCTCCCTCCCCCCTCCCCATTGCTGAGCCCGGAGTCCACGGCCCCACAGTCCCATGGACAGCCCTGTGCAGATGGGGAAATGGAGGACCCCCGGCATGGGGTGGGGCTGGGGGGCCTGCAGCCAGGCTGACCCTGCAACCTATGGCCTCCTGCTCCCTACTCTCCCAGCATGGCCATACCTGACGGCAACGAAGAGCACGAGCACCCCGGGGATGCCATAGAACGGGGCGTAGGACAAGAAGAAGCGGAAGTAGAAGCTGGCAGCCCAGAGCAAGTCCTGGGGTGGGCGTGGGGTGGGAGATGGGCAGGACTGAGTGTCTGGGCAGCAGGGTGTTGGGAGTGGGAGGGAGGGAGGAAGGGATCTCTGGGTTTGGATTCCTGAGTTGCCCTGCTGGCCATGCGGGGTACCCATGGTCTCCTGGGACCCCTGCCTGGGAGACTCATGCCTGGCAGAGCCTGGGGAAGGCACCCCTGTGGTGAGGCCCACATCATGCCCGCATGCCCCACCCCCCACACATACACATTCTCCCACTGCACACACACATGTAACATCATCATGCATGCACGTGCACGCCGATCTCACCACCCCATGCACACACTCCCCCACACATAGAGGTTACATCCTGCACACAGATCCCACCTCCCCTGCACACACAGACATGTACCACACCAGCATTCATGCTCACATTCTCTTTGTACACACACTCTGCATCATGGTACACACACGTCCCCTGCACACACACATGGATGCCACCTCCCCCTGCACAGGGATATATGTCATACCGCCCGTCATGCACTCGCTCCCCTAGTACACACAGTCACTACACCCTGGTGCACACGCAATTCCCCTGCACACACATAGGCATGGACATCACCTCATATACTCACCCCCCCCTGCACACACACATCTGCTACCCTCTCTCCCTGCACACACAGTGTACATAACTGGGCATGCACACACAGACATGTACATCATCGCACATATACTCACTCCCCTCTACACACGCACGCATTAGCATAAGGACACACTGTCCCATGTGCACACACACCCTGCATACACATGCAAAACACTGCTATAACACATGCACATTATGTCATCGTGCACACGCATGCACACACACTCACCCCATGCACACACAAGCACACACTCATGTACACACACACACCCATGCACCATTGCACACAGGACGCACACCTGGCAACGGCGTGGACAGGCGGGCACGCACTCACCGTCCACTGCATGCACACCAGCATGTACGCCAGGTTCTCCACTTCGAAGTTCACCAGCGTGAGCAGGGGCGGGCCGACTGAGGAGGGGACAGACAGCTCAGGAGCAGGGCCCCATGCCTGGGGGTGGGGTGGGAGCTGGAGGGAGGCCTCTGTCACTCCAGGGGTGTTGTGGGGTGTTGAAGTAGGTCCTGTCCAGTTGGGCTGAACCTGCAACCCGCCTCCCACAAGGCCTGGACTACTTTCCACCGTGGGGTCCCGGCCCCCCACGAGATGCCTCACCCCACTTCACCCCAGGGCCCTTCACAGACCGGTCACCAATATCACGGTCAGGGCCCTGGCTGGCCTGTCCCTGCCTGGAGTCCTCACTAGACCCTCTAGGGCTCTGGGTGGGGGACAGATGGCTGGACCCAAGGCACCCAGGCCGAAAGGCAGCCAGGGCAGGGCCAGCACAGTGGCAGGACCTGATGTGGGGCAGCCAGGGCCCTTGGGGGTGTGGGCAGGGGGGAGCCTGCCCCAGTGTGACCGGCAGGGCGCGTGGCACTCACTCAGGAAGAAGTACAGGTGCTGGTGGTTGTAGGGCAGGTATCTGTGCTTCTTCCTGCCATACTGTGGAGACAGGTGGGGGCTGGGCTCAGGCAGCTCTCCATGCCCCCACCGCTCCCCCCACCCCCCGGAAGTTCCAGGATGCGGGCTGGGGCCAAGGGTCAAAAGGCAACTCTAAACCTCACTGCTTTCAAGTGGACTCTGACTCGTGGTGACCCTTCAGGGCCGAGGCAGGCTTCCAAGGCTGTTCATATTGAATGGGAACGCTGTCCCATTTTTCCTGCACGGAGCAGCTGGTGGGATCGGACAGCAGACCTGAGATCTGCAGTCAAGCACCTTCAAAGGCTACTCTAGACTCTTAACAAAGGGACCATCTTCCCAGCAGGGACTCGGTGGGTGGCCGTGAGTGCCCGCTCCCCACCACACACCTCCACGGACGACTCTCCCAGGAGGAAGACGGGCGCCACGGTCACATCCGGGTCCTTGTGGAAGATGTTGGGCTTGGCGTGGTGCTGGAAGTGGCGGAAGTTCCACCAGTGGGCCGAGAAGCCCTGCGGGGGGGCGAGAGCAGGGATGGGGGCAAGGGGGCGCTCAGGGGTGGGAGCAAGACCCGCTGCTCACTGCTCCCCTCAGGGCCCCCGCTGCCTGTCCATCCGTCCACCCACCCGCCTGGCTCACACTCACCTTCAGATGCCCCATCACAAACTGCTGGGCCAGGTGGTTCCAGCGGGACTTGCGGAAGACGGAGGCGTGGCCCAGGTCATGCTGTAGACACCAGCTCTGAGCCTGGGGGGGAGTGGGGAGTGTGGTGTGTGTGTGTAAGGGGGGGTTCTCTGACTCCCTTCGCTAAACAAAGCACACCCTTGGGCTCATTTAAAGTGCAGCCTGACCCACAAACACGTGACTGGTGGGACTCGGGGCATTCAAGTATTTCTCTCTGCTCATTCGCTCCTTCATTCATGGGCCTCTCGTTATTTTGTGTTCCTTCATAACCACCCATCCATCCTTCCACCCATCAATCCATCCATCTATCCACTCAGCCATTCACTTACCCATTTACCTGACCATCCATCCATCTACCTATCCACCCATCCATTAATCCACCTGCTATCCATCCATCCATCCACTCACCCACCTGCTAACCATCCATCCATCCATCCATCCATCCACTCACCCACCTGCCATCCATCATCAATCTATCCATCCACCCATCCATCCATCCACCCATCCCTTTATCTATCTATCCCTCTGCCCATCCATCCATCCATCTGGCAAACATGTCCACGGGAGGGGGAGGGGTATCTGTCGGATGTCACCTGAGAAAGGGCTAGAATGAGGGCAGCGAGAGTGCTGGGCAGCCAGCCAGGGCCCAGGAGGCAGACGAGGAACCAGGCCAGCATCTCCATGGCCAGGATGTGAGCCAGCAGGAGCGCAAAGAAGGCCGGGTTGGCCTCGAACAGCTTCATGTCCTCAGCCGTCTGCCGCAGGGCTCGGAAATCCTCCACCAGCTGTGCCTGCACCATGAAGGGCCCATAGGTCCAGGGTGCTATGCCCAGACATGCCCTACCCTGCCCCCAGTGCCTGGCCCAGGGGCCCCAACAGGATGGCCAGACCAGGTGTAAGCTGGGGAGCTGGCTGGAGAGGAAGACCCCCCAAAGCTGTGGGGTGCAGGAGAAGCCAGATCAGGGGAGACTGAGAGAGACGAGCTCATCGAAGCCCTCACAGTGGAAGGGAAGCTGGTCCCAGACAGGAAAGAGGCTCATCTAGGGCCAAGCCAGGTCTGGTGCCCTGGAGGGTATCCCCACAGCCCCACCCCACCCCCGGCTCCCTCTAGGGGGCCTGGCCGCCACCAGGGCCCCGCTCACATTCTGCACTCCGGCAGGGCTAGGCTCGTCGGGGGCCAGCTCGCCAATCAGCAGGGGCCGCAGGAACTTGCGCACGAAATGAAGGTCAGGGTGGAAGGCATGGAAGGCGTCCTGAAGAAGAGTGGACAGTTAGGTGGACAGACAGACCAACAGACGGAACGGCACCAGAGGCGACGGGCAAAAGCATAGTGCACAGGACTGCTGGTGGACCGGACTGCTGGTGGGGCAGAGAGATGGACAGGAAGTCAACAGGTTGTTCAGAGGTTGCAGACATGGAATACAGATGCGCCGCTGTCCCTTCTGGAAGGGCAGCAAACCCGAGGCTGTCAGGGCTGACCGGGAGGCTGGGGACCCTGGG